TCGGATCCATCACATGTGTTGGATTGGACCGACTTGGAGGTAGATGAGGATGCCTCGTATGAGGAGAGACCAGTTCGGGTCTTGGATAGGCGGGATCAAGTCCTGCGTGGCAAGACCACTCCTTTGGTAAAGGTTTTGTGGAAACATCATGGAGTGGAGGAAGCCACTTGGGAACACTAGTTGGAAGTCCGCGAGAAATATCCGGACTTGTTTGTTTATGTGTAACCATGCTTTGGTGATTTTGTTGTATTGTTGAACCTTAAGAGTATTGAATATATCTTAGGTTGTAAAACATGGTTTATGTTTTGATTTAATGGAAGTATTTTGAAACTTGCCTCAAAATGGAAGTTTAATGTAACATTGCATATGTTGGATGTATTGTAGAAATGGAAATATATCATGAATACTGAATATGATATAGAATTGTGGAATGTAGTATTGAAATTTGTGGAATTTCAGGGAATGCATAACTATAATGCATGTTGTGGAAAATGTTGTAAACTGCCTCTTGAAAAGAGATGAGATGACCGGTAATGGGTCGAGTTGTTAAAATTCGCATTGTGATAATGTTGGGAATTGAGAAAATCTTGTTTTTGAAAAACTTGTATTTAATTTCGGGGACAAAATTCTTTAAGGGAGGGAGGTTATAGCGATCCCGGTTGTCCCTTTACTGTTCTATTGTATTCCGGACTTGGTTTCGTGGAGTTGGTAGTTGTATCTATCTTGTTGTCGTCCTTTAATTCCATTTGTTTGAGTTTTAGGATGTGTTGGGCATGTTTTGAATAGGTGGGTTGAACCTTGGTCTAAAATCTTGTTGCCAGGTTTTTGTTCGTTGCGCTCGAGCGGGCCTTGTTGCGCTCAAGCGGAGATTGCACGCTCCTAGTATTTTGTGTCCCTGCAAAACTTCTGCAGGTGTGATTTTTACGCTCTAGCGGTCGCGCTCGAGCGGGTACTCTGGCGCTCGAGCGGGTAGTACTTTTTGGTGTAAGTTCTGGGAGGGGGAAATCCACGCTCGAGCAGACTGGTTTTCGCGCTCGAGCGGATGTACTTTATTCTTGTGTCTTGGCGCTCAAGCGGGCCTTCTTACGCTCGAGCGTACCTAGTTTTTTTGTTCTTGACGCTCGAGCGTTGTGTTCTCCACTCGAGCGGGAATGTCGTATATCAGTTGGCAGCTGGGCATTTTAAAATCACTTTTTACATTCTTTCTCTCTCTCTTACTTTCTAAAAAGATATTTTGAGTGCTCCTCTCTCTAGAAACTCCCTTCTCTCTAGGGTTTGATCTAGTTAGAGTGTCTCACTATCCTCCGGCCTTTGTATAAAGTGTGTGGATCGTCGAGGGCTCCATTTTGATCCGTGGATCTTTGAGTTTAGAGCATTTTGGTTTTCTTCAACTTCCCCATTTGAGTTCTAACTTCGACGTAGGGATATCCTACTCCTTCTCATGAGTTTTGTCTTTGAATTTTAGTATTTTGATGAGTTGAGGGTTGTTGGGTAATTTTTGAGAAAGTTTGGGCCTTTGTGTAATTTTACAAAAGTAGGGATTTTGTTTATGTAAACTTATATGCATGTTTGGCATAGAGAAATGAGATCAATATTGGTTTATTGGTGAAAATGGAACCTTAGGGTTGTGATGTTAATTATGGGAAATGCTCTAATTACATTGATAAATTAATTGGTATAATTAATTTGAAGAAAAGAAAAATTAAATTGAGAATGTTGGAATTGGATGTGTATGGGATTAAAGGGTGTAGTTTGATTCGTTCATCGCTTGCCTAGTTGAAATGTTGATTATATATCCATTTGGTGCATTTATTTTCAGTATAGAAATAACTGCTTTGGGCTGTCGGTGGAGGATAGTCTTGATTGTTGTAGACACTGCATGACGATTAGGCAAACTAAAACTAATCGATTGAGTATGCTATTGAATCTAGCAACTGGAATAATACATTAATTCTATGTATTGATTGATTGTATATGATCTATGTTTATATACATGTGTTGTGTGGGAGTAGATGGGGGATGTACTCCACGGTTTAGGGGAAGATAGGGGATAGACCTCTAAACCGGATTTTGTGTGACATTGATACAGCACTACAATGTGTATCAAGTGTTGATTATGGAAGTGTTTGAATTGATTTGATATAGCACTAAAATGTATATTGTTATCAATTGTAAAGTATAGAAGTGATTCTATGTTATGTTGATACAGCACCGAAATGTGTATCTTTCGTAAAGTGTGGGAATGGTTTATGTGTTATTGATACAAGATTAAAATGTGTATCCCTCATGAATTTTGAAAGTGTTTTAAAGATGAGTCTAAACCTCATTAAGTTATTTGGCTAGGTGTTGAGCCTTGTTTTCAAACTCAAAGTTGGAAAGGACATGGGAAATGAAATGTAGCATGGACTTAATGTCATGAAATCGAAATGTGATATAAGTGAATGTATCTGTATTGACCATCTATCAACTGCTAATCTTTTAGTCATTGTTCATGGCTGGTTTAGTGTATTTCTACTGGGCTGTGGATCACCCTTTATGGGACATCTTTTTCAGGTACAGGTAGCATGCCACCTCCAAGGACATAGCTTGGGAGGCTAGAAGCAGACAGACTGCTTTGTTATTTGCTTTCTTTTGATGTATTACATGTAAATTCAAGCCAAGGGCTTAATATGTATTGAGTTAGCACTCTTCTTTTTGTAACCAAGTGTTAACTTGGAAAGCTGTAAGCCTGTAGGGCATTTTCTTTTGTTGTTAACATGTTATACTTTTGTAAGGAACTACTCTGATGAATAGAAGAATATTTATCTTTTATACCAATGCATGTCTAAGTTGATGGGTTTTAATGGTATTATTTTGAGGGCGTTACAACCGTGTGAAATTATGCGAGTCATAGAATTGCTACCAATATGTCCTAATCTATGATGCCAAATAGAATTAACTTGTGAATCAAGCATATAAGCAGAAATAGAAACGTCTTTATTAAGATTAATAGAATACGTATTGTCTTTAGCATAACCCTTCCCAACAAAGGATCCCTTCTTAGAGATGATCACTTTTTGGGAATCAAATACAACTCTAAAACCATGATCATCAAGCCTCTTAACAGACACAAGACTCTTTCTAAGTCCCGGAATGTGATACAGATCTTGTAAAGTAAGGACTTTGTCGGAAAAGAGAGCAAGTTTCACTACTCCTTTGCCCAAGATAGCACTTGTAGAAGAATTTCAAATGAAGACGGGTTATTCACTACTAACTTCATTATAAGAATGAAAAACATCCTTATTGGGAGTAGCATGACAGGTTGCATCGAAATCAATCCACCAACCATCTTCCATGTCGACCATGTTGATTTCAGTAAGCATGGCCGTCATGTCTTCATTAGTGCTCATCATGTTGGTCTCATTTTTGTGTCCCTTGCGGTGACGACAATCTTTAGCATAATGTCCCTTTTTACCACACACAAAACAAGAACCAAAGCTTTTCTTTTTGACAAACTCCTTTTTAGTGAAGTTGCCTTTCTTCCGCTTGAAAGATTTTTTCTTGTTAGGAAACTTGACAACATGTTTATTAGAGGTAGATGCCGGTTCTTCAACATGATGAACTTTTTCAGTCTTGCCCAGATTTTCAAGATTATCACATAATCTTGCTTCACTTTCCATCTGAATGATGAAGCAACTCATTCAAATTTAGAGATTTTTTCTTGTGTTTTATAATTCTTTGGTAATCTTTCCACATAGATGGAAGTTTACCAATAATAGTTGAAACTTGAAAAGTCTCTGAAATTGGTTCTCCAGCATCAGTAACTTGATCTATAATTGACTAACTATCATCTATTTTAAAATCAATATATTTTGAAATTAGGAAAAATCGATTACCAGCATCTTCATTAACATACCTACATTGTGTCGCATGCCAGAGTTCCAATGCTGTTGTACACTTGTGGAAGACATTGAATAGTGCATTGGCCATTGTGTTGAGAATGGTAAAACGGCACACATAATCATCCTTCATCCATTTCTTCTAAGTTTCTGTCATGGCTTCTTCGAATATACTAGTACCATCAGTAGCATTGGTTCCCTTGGTTGTAGGAGACACTTCTGTTTGAGGGTAGGCAACCGAAAGCACATAAGAAACCTTTGCAACAATAAGTTGGAAAAATATCTTTATACTCCAACGTTTGTAGTTAAGTCCATTGAAACGTTCAAGCCTTTCAACTTCATGAATTGGTGTCTTGATCACCGTTGTGGGATTCATATTACTATCTTAAAAATTGTTGAATAAAAAATAAATAAACTATGTTTAAAAGGAAAAACAGATTCACTAAAGAAGAAAAGTAGAACACTCAAAGGCAAGGCAAGGCACATCCGAGATGCTTTCTTTAAGATAGTAATTTCCCCTCTGTTATACAGAAAAGTCTCATGGAAATTATATCTCCAGGGTACAATGCCTTATTTTAGAAAATAATACTAAGGTTGTATTCCTTAGTTGTTTTCTAAATCAGAACCTTAACCCAGAAAACTTAGAATGAAAACAGTAAGGAAAACTTGTAGTGAAAAACAAAATGAGTATGGGCTGTTGAAGAGAGTTCCTTATATGGTACTCAAACATACACCAACCTAGGGAATTCAAAAAGTTGAACTTGTTTCCCAACGTCTATAAACCAACAAGTGGTTAGGATGTCCGAATTCAAAATCTTTAAACTGATTTATTGAAATGGTCCTAAACAGTTTCTTTCTTTCTATATATATTAGATATATAGAAAAAACTAGAAGTTTCATATCATAGATATCTTTAATGGAATACCTCCAATGGAAACTTGAAGGAATACGGAAAGCCATTCCTTTGTTTATAGTAGATGAGAGCACACTCATTTGCTTAAGATTTCTATTTGAGAACCAAGCTAAAAAATTTAAATTGGAAGTGAATGGAGGGGAAAATGAAATATTGAATTCCCTCTAAGTGAAAGTGTAGAGATTCCTTTAGATTCCAGTGTGGGAATCAAGAAAGGAAACAAAAAAAGGACAAAAAAATGGAGAATATTATTGTTATTAGTAAATAATATATAATGGATTACAGTCTTGGCATGAGAAGATTGGAAAGAAAACAAAAGTTATTTCCTGACCTTGCATCACTCAGGTATTAATCGTATTTAGCTATGTAATTTCTACATTTTTTATTTTTGTTTATTTATTTATTTATCTTACTTTGTGGAATGTACTTATAAATACTTCAAAACATCTGTAGAATATTGACTAATGTTGTCGCGCTTTGAAAATAATACAACAATTTAACAGTAAAGATTGATATAGAATGACATAAACAGAGTATTAGGCTTTCATTAATCAGAGTCAATTTACAAAAGGGGCACATGAATTACACATTCATAAGCTCTACTATGAATCTATAGCATGTGGTACTAAACTAAATGATCAACGAAATAAATGCCCTATAGGGCTTACAACTTTCCAAGTCAATGCTTGGTTATAACAAACGAGTCAGAAGCTCAATACAAATAACGCCCTAGGCCTGTACAAAAGTAAATACAAAATAAACAAACTGAGCTCGCAGCTCTACAATCCTCCGAAACTAGGTCCTTGGCGGAGGCATGTAACTAGCACCTAAAAATGGTTTCCCAAGTAGGGTGAGCCAAAGCCCAGTAAAGACAATCTACTACAATATATGAATTTTAACAAAGATATAAGTAACATGCACGTGTTCAATGTCCGATGACATAATCCTTTACAACTCTTTTCCAAAACCATGTTATACCAAACTCACATCTCAATTTATTTTATCCTGGTTTATTAGGTATACCTACTTCATTTAATCGATCAAACAGAGGATACACCTGACAGTTCCCTAACCAACATAATTATCATACAAATACATTCACTTGCCATTTTACGAAAATTTCATCCGCGGTAATTGACACCCATATATACGAGCGGTTTTTGGGATGTTGACCTTGGACACACAGGCCAACTTGATTTAATGGACTCTATCCACTTTATCCTCTCAAACATGGAGTACATCTCATTTCTCCTCCCAAATATCATACATACACAATGTATACACATTATAATCATATTCAATGATAAGGTCAAGAGATTAGTTTCAATTCGCCTAATCCTCATGCAATTGATACAACAATCATGGCTATCCTCTATCGTTAGCCCAAAACAGATATATAATCTTTACAACAGATAAACTATCCAAATTTCCATAGGTACTGGATAATACATATCTAATTCCACCGTCTACATGAACATCCATCCGATTTCATATTTCCAATACCAATTTCATTATTTACACAAAATAATTATTCAAGACAATTTAGGGCAAAAATCTCTTTTTCCCAATCTCATCCCAAACACCAAAATCAACCATTTTAGCACAACAGAAGCTCATATATACTCCTTTAACCATTTCCAATACGTACATTAAAAAAAAACTCTATTTTGATTTTAACCCAAACCCTAGGTTTGTTCAAAATCACCTCAAATCCTAATGTTTCTTACATATTAACAAATATTTATGTTAAAACTCATAGAAGAGTGTAGAAAATCTCTACCGCAAGCTTAGAAGACCACAACAACAATGGAGGAACTTTAAAGATGCTGAAACCAAGCTTTAATCGAACCAAAAGAGAGCTCTTGATACACACTACCTTTTCAACAAGGGCACATGGGTTGAGAGATCACTAGATCTAGGTGAAAATGTAAAGAGAAGAGGAGTTCTAGAGAGAGAGGGTCCCAGTATAGGGTTTTTGAGAGAAATGGATTTGAAAAAGTGTGTAAAATGTCTCTTTCGGAGCTGATATACGCATAGTCTGCTCGAGTGCAAAAAGTGACGCTTGAGAGTCAGACACAATAAGTTGTTTTGCTCGAGCGCAAGAAACGGCGCTCAAGCGCAGAATGCACACTCCTAGTAGTTTTACAGACAACAGACCACCGCTCAAGCACCTGCTCGAGCGTAGAAAACACTCTCCCAGTAGATTTGCAAACTTGCAAAAGTACTGAGAGTTCATAAAGCGCGGTTGAGTGCAAAAAGTACCGCTCGAGCGTAGGACCAAAAATCTGGGCAACAAGAGTTTAGAAACTAAGCAACCAGCCTGTCCCAAATGCAACCACAACAATCCAAAAGCCAAACTTGAAGAGATAAAAGGAAAACAAGATGTAAACAACAATATGAAACCATCAATCCCAAGTCCGGGATATAACAAAGGTCAGGTCAAAATCGGAATCGCTATAACCTCCTTCCCTTAAAGAATTTCGTCCCTGAAATTTCAAATCAGCCCTTACAGTTATGTTTAAACTAACCACAATAATGATGGATAGTCAATTCCAATACCATGACCCATTCTCTGGTCATCCATTTTCATCAATCTTGATACACAAGTCCCAATATGGAAAGTAAAATCTACATTTCCCAAAACATTGACAATGTTTAAATTAATTTCGTGTTTCCAAAACATACACAACATATACAATGTTCTCATAAATCCAAAACATATACAATGTTTTCATATTTTATTAACATAACAAAATTCCATTACATGTTCAAACATCAACAAATAGGTCCGGATATTTCTCACAGACCTCTAACTCACGTTCCCAAGTTGCTTCCTCAACCCCGTGATGCTTCCATAATACTTTAACCAAGGGAATTGCCATGCCTTGAAAGACTTGGTCCTCGGTATCCAAGACCCTCACCGGTCTCTCCTTATATGAGGCATCCTCATCTACCTCTAAGTCGGTCCAATCCAACACATACGATAGATCTGGTTCATGCTTCCGAAGCATGCGAATATGAAACACATCATAAACCCCGAAAAACTGTGGCGGCAAGGCCAAACGATAAGCTACCTCTCTAATTCGCTCTAGGATCTCAAAAGGCCCAATGAATTGAAGGGACAACTTCCCACTCTTTCTAAACCTTCATCAAACCCCTTCTAGGTAATATCTTTAAAAAGACATAATCTCCCACCTCAAAGGACAAGGGTCTCCTTCTATGGTCGGCATGACTCTTCTGGCAGCTCTAGGCTGTAGTTAACCTCTTACAAATAAGTGCAACTTTCTCCATTGTTTCCCGAACCAACTCTGGACCCAACATAGGTGCATCACCCACCTCGGCCCAACACATAGGGGATCTACATGGCCGGCTATACAAGGCCTCAAATGGTGACATACCAATACTCGACTACAAGCTATTGTTATAGGCAAACTTCACTAAGAGCAAGTGCCTCTCCCACGAACCCTTAAAGTCAAAGACAAAATCCCGAAGCATATCCTCAAGGATCTGAATAGTACGCTCAGACTGCCTATCAGTTTGAGGATGATACGCGGTACTAAAAGTTAATTTAGTGCCCAAGGCACTCTGTTGGCTCTGCCATAACTGAGCCGTAAAACACGGATCTCTATTCGATACAATTGTCACTAGGACCCCTTGCAACCTCACTATGTCCCTAATGTATAGGTATAAAGTGTGCAAACTTAGTCAACCAGTCAACTACCACCTAAATGGCATCACTACCTGGTTGAGTCCTCAGAAGGCCCAAAACAAAATCCATCGTGACATGCTCCCACTTCCACTCGGCTATAGGCAAGGGTTGCAACAAACCCGCTGGACTCTGATGCTCGACCTTCACTTGTTGACAAGTAAGGCACTTTGACACAAACACGACCACATCCTTCTTCATACCTCTTCACTAAAATTGGTGATTAAGATCGTGATACATCTTTGTGCCTCCCAAATGCACCGCAAGGCGTGAATAGTGAAACTCTCGGAGTACCTCCTCTCGGCAGGACTCCTGTATGAACAAACGGTCACGGTGTCACACACTTAGGTCGGGATACACATTCAAGCCTCTTTCTACGTTCCCACTGGAGATCATCTCCCGGAGGGATTCTAAATTAAGGTCACCCTTCTGTGCTTCTAACACTAGGTTCAC